AAAGCATGAAATGACTCAATTTGCCCTCTTCTTGTTAATCGTCACAGCGTCAGTCCCCGTTCTGGAACTAAAACATGCAAATGCATTGATGTATTTTTCCGGCCCTAAAGCCCTAAGAAATCTAATTTTTGTCTTACGAGGCATCTGCAAGTAGGTCGTCGACAAAAGCCGAGAATAAATTTTTTAGCATCCTAGCTTTCAATGAGTAGAAATCCACCAAACATTATGCGCTCTTCTTCAGAGGTGGATGTTATTTAAGTGTTGGAAGTTGTTGCTTGCGAGTAATTGCACTGAAAGGCTAAATAGTAGTCAGTACTACGCTAGGAATTTAATGGACCAAATTACTTGGCCGATTGAAATGTTGTCAAAAGGTAATATGTAAAAGTAGGTACGAATGAAATTTTTTTCATTTTCAAAGATCTGAAGGCTCTTCTGGGAACTTGTTGTCAGCAAATATTCGTCAGCACTAAATGAACTAGAAGATTGTTTTGGCAGAATTGAATAAATTAGTTGGCTCACTTGTGAAAAACTCGGCGGCCTTGGTGGAATTCAATTCCACACCAGTAAGGGGATGGATTTCACATGTTGCAGTAGGCTGGGGGAAAACTTGACCCAAATGTATTCAAACTCATGGTCGCTGGGGTCTCGTTGACTGAAGTAAAGCTTCTCCCTTGCTGGTGTAGGTTCGAATCCCACTGAATTGTTTAGACGAATTTTGTTTAAATAGGTATTCTGCCAGTCGAATAACCTCTTCTGCTTATATGTCCTCATGCTCTTTTGTATTTTGCCTGCCGAAGTGTAAGCCGCCTGGGTGCAACGTCTTCAGAGAATTGCGGATTTTCTTTGGTGAGTATAATATGAGCATGCGTGCTTCGTTGTAGGCAAGTTCGTCTCCTCCTGTTTCGAGGCTCTACGTAATTACTCGATATTGTTGCGCTCGGTTTCTAACCGCCGGCGAGTATTCTTTGAGTTGGTAAAGCTTGAAATCTTTGTACGCGGTAAACGAAGTTTCACCCATTGCAATATATGCTGTAGGCCTTCCCCTTCTTTTTCACTCAACCAGCAAATGCGTACACTCATAAAATAAAATACTCGATGTAGATAGTCTTCTTCCTCAAGCGCGCATATAAAAATATCTGTTTCAGAAGAAGTCAACGGACACCGCCGCCTCCTCTCCCACCCATTGCCGAAACCCCCACCGCCAGCTTTGCAGGCTCGCGAATTTTCAATAAATCGCAGTCAAGTGGAGTTAGGCAGCCGGATTGACAGAGGCAGTTTCGGTCGGACCTATATGGCTACCTATCGATCCTGTGAGGTCATTGCAAAACGTGCCAGTTCTAGTATATGTCGACAAACTCTACTGGAGGTTGGCAAGTCGCTACACCAACTCTCTCACCCACGCCTTGTCCGGCTCCTTGGCGCGTGTGGCGACCCATCGGACGATCAGTCTATCATCTA